ACACACACACACACACACACACACACACACACACACACACACACACACACACACAGAACAGTCAACCAACATATCACTCACTGGAGCATTAAATTTCATATCCCCATGGCAATAGTACATTGTGTAAGAGTGTGTAAGTAAGTTTTACAGCCCACTGCTACACAGCAGTTGTGTGTTTGCACAGGCACTGACTTGTGGATCTTGCGTGTATGTTTATGTGTGTGTGTGTGTGTGTGTGTGTGTGTGTGTGTGTGTGTGTGTGTGTGTGTGTGTGTGTGTGTGTGTGTGTGTTTTAACCTTTAAGTTTCCTCCAACCTTTACTTTACTTATGCTACAGTTGTTCTGCTTTTCTTTAGTGTGTGTTCACTAAAGTCAAGGTCATGGTAATAGGCTGGAGAGGTGAGTGCCTCACTTACACATAGACTTAATGTACAGAGCCACTGAATCAAATCATTAAAAAGACCTTAATTATCACTTAATTATTCCCTCAACTCACCACTCTCCAGCTAAGTGTGTGTGTGTGTGTGTGTGTGTGTGTGTGTGTGTGTGTGTGTGTGTGTGTGTGTGTGTGTGTGTGTGCGTGTGCTTGCATATGCATTTGTCTGTGTGATTATGAGGCGATCGGGGCTAGTGACGCGGAAAAGAGAGATTAAGTCCGCCTAAGGAGCGATAAAAGAGAAGAAAGACAGATGGAAAAGAAAAAAAGAGAGCAGCAAGAAGGAATGAGCCCCGCATTTAAAATAAATTAAGGACAAGAAGGAACATCGTGGTAGCAAGCACAGTAAATTATGCTAAAATGAAGCTACGTCTGGGATAAGATTGAAACTGGAAAATGTAAAACAGCTTTGCACAAAAGGAGCATTACATTTCATAGTGTGTGTGGTGAGGATGGGCAGTGGTGTGTAGTCTGTTCACTGTAGGGTCAGACGGATGAGAGACCGAAGCAACTGCTGTGCTGTGAAGTCATTCTCTGCTGAAAAGCCTCTTTGAACATTTGATGCACCATGAAACAAAGACAAACTGCAGACGGACACATGTACAAGCTGTTCTCAGGAGGATAACCCACACACAGACTAACAAAGACTCACACACACTGTGGCCAGTGTGAGTTTTCCTGTCAGCCTTGCTCTACTCTCAGCAAGATTATAATCTTAATGGAGCTTCCTGGGTAAATTAATGATTACAAACTCAAACAAACAGACAAGCTGTGGCCGGTCAGATCCTCTGTATGTGTATGGGGGGGAGGGGGCTTAGTACTTTACAAAAAAGAATGAAACAAAAGAGTCAGAGTACATGGGAAGTATAGACAGTGAAACGAGTAAAAGCAAACAAATAGAAATGAAAAAGTATGAACAAAAAGCTATCAAACATTTTTTAAAGGCTTTCACAAAAAGAGGAGCTTTAAGAGGATCTGAACCTTTCCCAACAGAGGTGCGTTTGAGAACAGATCTGTCCAAAGCAGTCGGATCAGACAGCTACAAAGTGAGTGCGATGTCTGATAGTGCCAATGTGCGAACAGAGCAGGAAATAGTCCTGTGTCGTCCCTCCTGTACGCCCTGCTCACCTAAACCAAATGGAAGATTTCAAGCAAGAAGAGCACACGATAAACAGACTATCTCCCGTTGTGTGCTACATTTGTCCAGAGTTAATGCATAAAAACAGCTTAACTGTATCTGAGTTCAGTCGACAGAAGGTTCAGTGGTGTGGGGGCTCCAACATGAAGTGCTGTTCTTTGGTGCAAATGCTGAATGGAGGTTTTGCTCATGTCCCAGCAAAGTTCCATTCATCAAGCTGAGAACAGCTTGCATATGTACAAGCATGTAAACCTTTTTGTATGCCAGCAATTTAAGAAATGACCCACTTACAAAGATAATTTTAAGCTGACAGAACCTAGACTAAACAACTTTTTTTTAATAAAGCTGGCACTACAAATAAGAGTCCGAGCCCAGCCCATTTCATATTATTTTACAGAGGTTATCCCCAGTAGAGCTGATGGCATTTGGACGACTAGACAGAATAAAAAATATTAAATCTGAAGAAATTTCAGAACAAATGGGATTTCATATCAGAGAATCAAGTAGTGAGGTTTGCTAGGCTCCTAGGACATGTGGGTTGTTTTTTTATCAATCTATTTAGCTGTAGAAATGCTAATGCACATTATGACTTTGAGTAACCTTGCCAGGAGGCAGCATGCCTGTAGAAAAGAGAAGGGGGCAAAGAACGGAGCCTTGAGGGACTCCATAACTCAATGGGGCCACTGAAGACATTTAAGTTAGCCAGAGTGAAAGAAAAAGCTATGTTGTAGAGGTTTGAGGCTGGTAAGCTAAAAGTCGAGCCTTTGTTTCCTACCAAAGTCTGTAAGTGATGTAAGAGGATACTATGAGTGACTGTATCAAAGGCAGCACACTAAATCTAAAGGTATTAAAGGGGAGCAATCACTTAAATCTGCAGTATGAAGGAGACTCGTAGAAACCTCAGTAGCAATGGATGGACACATTTTAAATAACCACATGTATCCTAAGGGCCATACCTCCTATCTGCATGGAGTCTAAAAACAGGGTATGTAAGATTCGGTGACTCATAACCCTTAGCAGAACAGTGTAGGTATTCACACGAACCTAGCAGGTGTTTTATGACAGCACATCACCAAATAGACTAAGTGCTGCCTCAAAGTATATCTGCTTGTGCATTTTTTCTCTGCAGGTTCAGAACAGTCCTGTTCAGTCTTGCAGTGCTGGTGTGTGTGTGTGTCTTAGTGTGTAAGTAGTGTGTGCCAACTGCCATTTCAGACCTTTTGATTTATTTCTGCACTGCAGTATAATGCATGTCTAGTGCATTATATTTACAATATTCAGGTGTGTTTCTGTTCCATTGCTCTTGTATCTGGTTGCACGGTCAGTCAGTCGGATCTTTCTATAACCGAACTTGAACCCTGTGAATAATCCAGCACCGGCGGTTAGCTTTGACATATACAATTACCTCGCTACACAGCTTGACACATACTAACAGCTCAGTGCAGTACTTCAGTGGGCTTTGTCGGGCCTGTGTTTGCTTGTTGCATGTGGTTTGTCAATAAACCACACACCACCACAACAATAAACTGCGGCCTTCGCTGCAAGGAGAGGAATCAAAGCAACTGCATTCCTTGCGACTGCCATTCACGTTAGTGCATTTTGGCGATATTGGGTCATTTCACTGTTGGAAACCTGTAGCATTGTTGAAGCTTTTACAAAGTGTGTTGTGACCGACTTGCTTCACATTTCTCTCCCCACCCATCCACCCACCCCACCTCCCTTTCTGCATCTGTCTCCAGTTACAGGAGTATTATAAGAAGCAGCAGGAGCAGTTACATCTCCAGCTTCTGACTCAGCAGCAGCAGCAGCAGCAGCAACAACAGCAGCAGCAGCAGCAGCAGCAGCAGGCCGGGAAGCAAGCAGCAAAAGAGGTGAACTTAACCAAGCGCACACTCACTCAGCTCAAGTACACTCTAAAGTACACAAGTACTCTTAAAAGCAGTAAAAGTGGGTGACATGGGAGAAAACCATAAGGGGAAGAAAAAAAGTCACATGGAGGATCTGATGTATAGACTGCAGGACACATATAGCTCTCTCCTTCCTGTTTTCTTTCACTCTCCTTTTCATCCAGTTGTCAACTTCAGGGATGCATGCACATATTTGTCTTTCTTAAGAATTAGTAAATATGGGTTTTCATTCTTTTTTCACATCCGCATGCTATGTTGAGGCAGTAAAGGAGTGCTGTGCTAAACCAACTGCTACCCTGCCAAAGTATTCATTTGCATGCCTTCTGCTCTAAGACTGAAGGGAAATCTCTCTGTAGGAGGGGTCTGCCACACTTTAATTGTCAATTAACCCCACCAACACTAAGAGTCTGCCTTCATTTCACTCTCTTTCTCTCGCACTCTGTCTCACACACAGAGATTTGCACAAACACACACACTGTACCAGGTTTAACCACAGCTGTGTTACAGTAGGATAACAGAGGATCAACTGGGATCACATCACGGCAAAACAAAGCGAATCGAAATCGATGAGACACGATTACTGTCATAACCTATGGGTGTGCGTGCGTGCCTATTTGTATTTGACTGTACTGTATGAATGATCATTAGCCAAAAAGCTTCCAAAGATGCCCAGGACAATGCAGGAGGCAGACTTAAGGAGAAGAACCCCATGAGACTTTTCTGATAAACGCATGAGGAGACACATCCTAGATTTCTCCCCCTCTCCCAGCGGGTAGACCAACCACGGTCAACCAACTCGACCGTGACCAAAGCAAACCAGTTGTGGTTGAGTCGCATGTTGCGATGGTGTCTGAAACGCTTTCCCTTTCTCCCTCCGCTCTGCTGCTGTCCCAGTTTTCAGGTTTGTTGTCCTGTAACAACTAGACAAGTGCCAACACTGGTCATACAGCGACACAGACACGCAGAGAGAGAGAGAGGAAGACTTGATGTGTCACGGTTCAAAGCACAAACACACGCGTGCACACACACACCTGAGGGACTATGCCTCCCTACAGGGATTCATACAACTCATGTGACTTATAGGCCACTTGCGGCAGTCTGTATATTTCAGGTGCTACAAGGCATCATTCACAACCAAAACACCAAGTGTTTTCCCCTCAATTGTCCTGTAAAATAAGTGCACAGTATTGAGACAGTCACTGTTTTCCATTGTGAGTATCATATTGTTTGGAAGTTTCCAGGTAGCCGTAACAGTTCATATTTCTTCCGGACATATAAAACTAGCCAGGCTGTAAATTTGAGCCGCCTATATATAGAGAAAGGAAGCTTGAAGTGTTTGTGGACTAGTGTATTTGACTGACTTTTTGCCCCTTTCCATCTCCTCTGCAATCCTCTTTTCAATTTCCTCACGGTGGAAATGATGCATTGAAAGAGTGTGTACATACGTATGTGTAAAGCTAGTGTTTTGCACCGGCTGGAGTATTTGGGGACTGGTCAGGAGTCAGCTTAATGAAGTGACTCTGACCATCACTAGACATGCGTACTTTGTGTGTGTCCATCCACAGTGCTAGTGTGCATCTACTGAATGGCCTTTTTCGTGTGTGTGTGCGTGTGTGTGCATGTCGGTGTGACTGGCAGGCTCAGACAGTGTGTGATGTGCTCATAAATCACATTGACAGCCTGTTACTGCGCTAGCTTTGGCCACTCAGCCACAGCTAATGTAAACAGAACGCAGGCGCACACACACGCACACACAATGTGTGTTTTAAAAAAACCATAGCCATATCTCAGGAGAGAATGAGAGACAGAGGAGGGACTGGAAGAAAGAAAATGGACAGACAAGTAGAGAAGGAGGGGCACTGAGGTCAAAAGAGAGCGAAAGAGAGGGAGGAGGCAGTTCAGTCAGGACACTCTGATTTTGATAAACCATTTATTGCAACTAATGAGAACTTGGCAATCCGCTTCAAAGAAACAGACTATGAAAGTATGGCACAGGCTTTGTCGGCACTACAACACCTCTTGTGTATGAGAAAGCTTAGTTTCACAGTTACACTGCAGTTGCAGTACAGTACAACAATCGAGTGTCATCTTTAACAAACTATACAATTATAATGTGAGGAAGGTGTAGCAGAAAATAAGGTGTAGGAAGCTGTGGTCACAAATAATTGAACTACTTATATTTGTGTCTGTAGTTACCAAATAAACAGACATAAACACACACACACAAAAATCAGACACAATTAGCATCGATACGTTTCTCAGGTCTCCACTTGTTTTTTGAATGGTTATTTTTTTGTTTTTCATAGATTTATTCCCTTAGAATGCAGTACTATGTATTTACATTAATTAATTGGAATCAGTGGCGGATTTTGCTGAACATGCACACAGGGATTTGAAAGATGAAATAATTTCCCTTTCATGCTAAGTGACACATTTGAACACATGAGAACAGCAGCCATTTGTGAGATATGACACCATCTGTGTCTAAACGTCACTTAGAAGTGGTGTTTGTCAAGCCGGGCCTCTGATGTTCAGCACATCATATGATACAGTTCCATTGAACCGTTTCATTGAAAGATGTATTTCCTCCTTTTTTTAAATCAGTGTAATCAATGTAAAGGGTAATTGTAACTACTCTCTTATGCTCCCCTGCCCACACGCACACACACACATGCATATACTCCCCCATCAGACTCCACACACCACCACCACACTACTTCTCCCCAGACACCAAGTCTGAAAGGAAATGACCTGTTTGCCCTTCCTGTGAGTTCTTTTCTGTTCAAAGAGGTCCAGACTGCCACTCTTTTTCACACACACTTTCACACACACACATTCTCACACAATGAGGAGTTGTATTTATTTATTTTTTCTCCACTACTTATCTGTGGGAGATAAAGTCCATCTCTCTCAGGGGTTGCAACATAGGTCTGCACCGAACTGGGAGAGGAGGAAAGGGGACATTTATCACCATAACACACACTAACATTATTGCTAAATGACATGCAGTCTCCTGCACTCTCCCCTCAAACATTTCACCCCTTCTCTACATCCTTCACAGCTTGCCATCCCTTATGGGTTACTTGCTTCATGCTTTTATTTATTCTGTGTGGTGATTTTAAATATCTTATTATCTTACCTGAATGTTGGAATAGGATATGTATACCAAATGAACTAATTTAACTACATTTTTTGGCTATTCAGCATAGTTTAAAAATTCATTTTGAGAGTGATACCTTTACAAATTTGTATTTTTTGTTGTTGTAAATTATAGTTACAAGCAGATTTTTGTCTAGTAGAGCTCACAGTACATTTACAGTATGACATTGTATAAGGCAATTTTGGCTGGCGTGACTTCTTTCCATATGGATCATAAAAAAATTGAGACAGCATAAATTAAGAATGAATAAACTTCTTCACCAACTTAGTTAAACTGAGCACTGAGTTTCCTAACTGCTTTACCCTCTGCCTTTTATCTTGTGGCTTACAGCAGTTAGGCAGTAAGCAGCTGGCCTTCCAGCAGCAGCTGATCCAGATGCAGCAGCTTCAGCAGCAGCACATCCTCAACCTCCAGAGACAGGGCCTGGTTCCACTGCAGCCCACCGCCGCCATGCAGACTCTGCAGCAAGGTATATGCACATGCACACACATTCATGAAAAGAACTGTAACTCTGTAGCACTCCGGTGACACAAACACATCTTAACAAGCGTGTGCACACACATGGGCGTACACACAGGCGGGCCTGTACCCAGTGCTGCCTGTGAAGCCCGTTAAGTTAATCAGCCTATAAAAGATAAAAGGAAACGTGATTGGTGGGTTTGTGGAAAGTACTCATTTGGGTAATAGGTAAAATATGGCACTAAGCCCTCCTGCTTAGAGAAATGTGTGCATGTGCTTGGGCGAATGTTTGCACGCATGTGTGTGTACTTGAGATTAGCCAGATACAAGAACATCATCGTTTTGCTATTGCTGTGCCCACTGGATTGTGGGGTTTTTTTTGTGTATTCTTACGTGTAACTTCTCCCACAGTCCCTTCATTTTGTCAGCAGAGTTTTAGAATGATAAATGTTGACTGGTGACTGGCCCGCCCTGAGTATATGTGTCCTGTGTGTGTATCTGTGTCCATTTGTTTTCCGTGCTCTTAGCACAGCAGCCCTCGACACACACATACACACTATCTCACTCACGGAGAATGCTTTAGAGGCTCTAAAGTGGCCGTAACATTGCTAAAGCGCTGACTGAGTTGACCAAACAGACCGATTTCCTTCCCTCTGGCTGTCTGATCCCTGATCTCTCTTTTTCTCTCATGCACAGTCACATGCAGTCTCACACTCACACACTCACATACAACAAAGAAACTGTGTTTAACTAATCAAAAGTGAAATTCAAATCAATTTAATACTGGACAAATTGCTCAAAAAGCGTGTGTATACATGTGTGCTTTATGTGCTAGAGGACAGGGTGTTTGTTTGTGTGAGGTGAGGACAAATAGATATGCCAGTTTACACAGAGTGGAAAAAGCCAATGGATACTTACTAGGTGCAAATGAAAACGACAGGGGCTACGTTTCTGTTAGAAGTGTAATTTTTCAGGCAGTTTCAAACATTTGGCTTTGGCATCTCCTTTTTTCTTTCTCCTTCCGTATCAGACTGGAATTTCCCTGCAGTGTGAAAGAGCTGGTCCATTGTGACGGCTCAGCCAGGCGTGAGCCAGAAGCATTCCTCTGACCAGCCATGCCACGCAAACACACAAACACTCGAGCATAAACACTCGCACCTTTACACACAAATGCACACACTATTGCCCCGCCTCAAAGGGCTGTTGTGTTCATTGTGTAGGTGGTGGCATTAGGGGTCCTGCTTTGGTTTCAGTTTATTTCTCTGACCGCAGTAGGATGGAGGTGCTGCGTAGACCTCTCATAACTGCCTTATGACAAAGCCTAATAAGTTCATGCCAAAAAGGAAATAAAGAAGAAGAAGAAGAAAGAGCACTAAATAAATTTTAACTGCAATAAGACAGACCAAACAGTGTGCAAGGAACCGTTTCAGCAGCTTTTGAAACTTTCAGACAAATCAGTTACTTATTTTGAATTCGCCCAGTTTAATTTTAGAACTCCCCAGCATGTGTTTGTCCACGGTTATTAATGTGAAAGAAAAATGAACCCTCATGACCAAATATGGGCGCGCACGTTTGGCAGAAACTTTTAGCAAGAGCACTCTGATCTCCTCAAATATTTTGCATCTTTAAGCTCTAGCTGGAGGAACTTACAACAGCAGTTTTCATCTCATTTCATGTTTGTTTTTTTAACCTTCCTTTATTTCCTTGTCGCTCATCAATAAACTACAGACTTTTGCCAAGAAATCGCCTACATTTTCCTCTCAAATTCCGATTTTGTGACTGGATTGTGCTGTGAGCCGCTTTCTATAGCGGTCTTCACCTACCTCACACTTTCGCTCTGTGAGCACGTCCATGCTTTTTGTGTGGAGCTGTCCCGATAATACATATATGTGCGTACCCATACAAAGACATTGACGCACACGGCACCTCATTCTTCCAGAGTGAGAACTTTTGTTTTGGCGGGACCGCAGAAGAATGCAGACAAAGCAGACATAATATTTGGATTGCTGCAAAGTCTCCGTATGAGTTTGTGTCGATGTGTGTGTGTGTATCCGCGTGTGTGCATGCTACAAGATCCACCGGAGTGGGCTGTGGCGTTTTAGGCGTCTCTCTCGCTGTGAAATTGGAGCAGAAATAACAAAGCTATGACTCGAAAGCTTAAAGTGTGCACCCACCCATTTCACACAAATAGTGGTGGCAACGGGAGCAGTGGAGCTGCTGGACAGTAGCAGTTGCAACAAAGTTTAGCTACTTAATTAAGAATACTGGCTTTCTGGGGGGACAATAAAAAGGTCCGTTTTTAAGATGTTCTGTTTTCCACTCTAAACCGCTCTTAAACACAGGGACAGTTAAAGTAGCACGTGTGTGTTTTATGTCTGCTATCATTTAAGATTAGTTTCAGCTATCGCTGCTTCTCTGTGTGTGTCTGCACGTCGGTACAATTATCTGGTTTATAGTTAACCGTATTTCTTCTTCCATTTATTAGAATCAGCTTACCTTAAATATCCTATCATCACATTTGTGCATGAACATTTGAAGTTGATGGACGGGTTAAGTGGGACCAGTTGCTAAGTTAAATCTTTGTCCTTGCCTGCAGCGATGTGTCCGTCAGACCTACAGCAACTGTGGAAGGATGTGTCGGGGGTGCCGAGCAGCGAGGAGGCCCTGAAACAGGCCGAGGGCCTCGACTTGAGCACCAACAGCTCCAATTCTACCTCAGCCTTCCCCAAAGCTGCCAGTGCTCACCTTCCACTGCACAGCCTGCCCAATGGACAGAGCCACACCCCAAAGAGAGACAGGTACAGTGATGTGTGGAAACAAGTATGACTTCCTGATGATAGCCACAGGTAATGTGGCTATCACAGTCTGTTCTCTGTGTGACTCTCTTCCGGTCTCTCTTATTTAGTCATTCTCACTGTGTCATTTTTTTCTTAAATTTGAACCTTCTTTTGGACACACAGAAAAAAACAGGTACAAAACATGCACATTCAGCATATCACACATCAGTGTGGCGTAAACTTCGCTCAGCTCATTTGATAGGAGGTGTGTCAGCCACATGTCAGTATGGTGCGGACACAAAGTTAGGAAAGAAGACAAGACGATAGTGGATTCGGGAGAGGGGTAGTAGCAGGAAGTAGATAAATTCTACTCAAGTAGATAAATTCCGCAGTCGAGCGTGATCATTTCCAGGGATGCATGTGCTGGGGGGATGCACTAACACACACTGTGTAAGGGCTGTGTTGTCCCATGGCTGTGTTGGCTGCTCATGGGCTTGTCTCCGTCTTTAAGAGCCAGACTGTTTGAGTGGATATCCTCCTTCACCAAGGCAGACAGCGGAGATGACCATATCCCTCTTTACTCCAAAGGCAGCCAACCCCCCAGCAGCCAGTGAGTAGCACATGCACGTACACACACAGTCACAAGTGGGCAAGTCTAAGACAAGAAGATACACTAGAGGTGGGTGGTTTGAAGTGTCCTTCAGCACTGATTTACTGCTTGTACCAGTGGCATTGTTGATCCTGACTCCTGACTTCATTTCAGAGGGGGGTAAGGGTGGCTGGACAAGTGTTAATTAAGAGAGGTTCTATTAGTTAATCAAATATATCACACATGGTCATGCTGAAGCTACAGTGTGCTGGCAGTACTCCGACAGAGTTGGCTTAGAAGATCACAAAGGGGATAGCATTAGCCTGCTAAGCTAATGCATGGCTGATGTGGAGGAGAATGCGGTTGCCAGCAGTTTGTCATGTCTGCTGTCTGAGCTGCTTCTGAGTTGACTCAACCACAGCCAACACACATACACACAACATACACTCCAACCTCAGCCTCCACATATGATCAGGAAGAGGTGAAAAGCAAAGAGAGGGAGAGAGACATGTTTCCATCTGCAAGACAAATGGTTTTTGTTAGACAACCTTATGATGTTGATTTGGGAGAATCCCCATTCCAGTCCACGCACACACATATGTACACACTCGCACGCATGCGCACATGCACACGCACACACTCATACAAACACGCACATACACAGTCATGTAAATATATGTGGAGACAGCAGTCGCCGGCAGAGGTCCAAGTCTGAACCACATCTGCTACTGGACCTGCCACACACACATGCACGGATACAGTTATTTTACCCTGGGTCCAAACCAAACCTGGCCTAGTCTTTCATCATCAGACACACATATAAATACACACACTGTCATAAATATGAAGAGATACGCACTCAAAAAACACACACATAAGCTCACCACAAAAGAACAACCAGCACATGACGGCAACCGCCACCAATCAGTCATGGCTGGTTGGTCCCGTGCCGGCTCTGTGTCAGCTCCTGAAACATTAGAACATACACCAAAACCAACACACACATGCAAAGCACACGCCAGGAACAGAAAGACAGGTCATGGACTCCAGAATGTGAGGTTGCTGGACCAATTCCCCTGTTTGCCTGGCTTCTGTGACTGACCCCACTCTGTTCTGTTCCTCCTGTCTCTGCACTTGGCTTCGTGAACTGTACTAATGACTGCTAACCAAACTCAGATGGCTGTATTGATGCTGCTGCTGCTATTGCTGCTACACGGTTTTTGTTTTCTTTGTTTTTGCATGTGTATGTATGTGAAAGTGTGACATGTTAATGCTTTTCTTCTTAATATTCTAAGCACTTACTTTGACTTTATCTACTGTTTCATGTGGATAACAAATATATAATGTCACTGTTGTCTCTGTTTGTGTGTGTCTTTCTCTCCACAGTCATGAGGAGCACACTGGCTCCCATCCCCTCTATGGCCATGGAGAGTGTAAGTGGCCTGGCTGTGAAGCACTGTGTGAGGACATGGGACAGTTCATCAAGTAAGTCACCAGCCAGTGAAAAAATAAGCACTCAGAAAAATCAATAAAGATATTTGCACTACACTGGGGGTTTCAAACAGAAGGCCTGGGGGCCAGAATTGGCCCAGCAAAGACTCAAATTGGGCTCAATGAATGACGTTAGAACAAGTGAAGGAGGGCAGGAAATTTGGAATTTTAACTGTGTCTTCATAAGTTTTAAAGATTTTCTTACTTATTATGACCTCCCCCATGGCCAGTCAAACTACACCAAAGCAAATACGTGACTGACAAAAGATTAAATGACAGAAAACTACTAAAGAAATATATGGGGCGGGGGTGGGGTTTTTCCACTGAGAGTACAATAGAAAAATATAAAATTTCTTTCCGAGACACACTTTTAAAAGTATTAATTTTTTATTAAGGTATCTCAGGGATTAAATGTTTACTTTAACTTCTTTACACTGACAGAAAGTGGAGTCTGGCGAATTTAAGATCAAATTGTGGCCCACAGCGTAAAATCAGACAACCCTACACTACATTTGATTGACATATCTGTTAATCTGAGCTGTACTATGATTGCCACTTACATCACATGCCTAGTATATATTTAATAGTGCAAGTAGAAGAAAAGTCAAAGTGGAAAGGGTTCTGTTTTGACCCCACTTCTGTTATTGTCCATTTTCCATTTCCATCCCCTTTACAGCTGTTAAAGAGTTTGTTATAGGGACATGCATATATTTCTCTTGGAGAGGTCATAATAGTAATATTTCTAGATGCGTTCAAATTCTCTGTTAAAAAGAAATCACACAGTTAAAGATAATCAAAGTCTGTTCAGTAATTAGTTTGCATTATTTACAGTTTCAAATGGCAATGAAACTGTAAAACTGTAAACGTTAAATATTTCTGCAATCCTCGACCAAAGTTCAGGTTTGATTCAAACATTAAAAGTTCTTTCTTTTTTTTTTTTACCACCAGTACAAAACAACCATTTTTTAAAATTTAAGCCAATAAAACTCACAATGTCTGATTTAGATTACCTGTATGAACTAAAGGTGAGGCAAAACAAAGAAAAGCTAATAATGCTAATAATGTACATGTCAATCGTACACATCACTTCTGCGTTTCCTGGCTAATTCATTTGTTGCAATATGTTACATCACATTAGCTCCCAGGCACATGCATGCATACGTGTACAAACACACGTTGGTACACAGATTCACTTCGTTTTTCTCTGAGTCTTTGTCTTCCTTGAAGAACAGAATCCTCCATCTCCATAATTCCATGTTTGCACGTGCATTTTTATACATCACATTGTTGCTTGAGTAGAGGCAGACAACTGGTCTAGCTATGTAGAATTATCACTGATGTGCTTTAAAAATATTGGTCTGTAAGCCATTCTTTAATTTGGTAGGCTTTTATGATTTTTGGTCTCTGTGAGAGCAAGAAACCCCTCTCTCACTTCTTTTCGCTCTGCGTCCTTCTACTTAACTTTCACTCCTCCCTCTGTTATTTACCAGTTTGGATACACTGTGCGATGCTGATGCAGTATTCGGCCTTGACATTCTCCTACCACCTCCTGTCACACGTAGCACTGTGGACTTCCCCATGGCACCGTGGCTGATAATGAAGGCTTCACAAGCCTCTAATGAAGCCTTAAACAAACTCACACTCATTATCTATGTGAAACTCTTAGCTATTTGGACAGTGGAGATATTAATAAGCCTGGGTGATGAAATACGTATTCGTACACACACACACGCACACACACACCATCACAGAACTGTGAATAGTGATTGTGATGGCATCGGACAGTCAGATCAAAGCTAGCAGGCAGGCTGGGAAAGTTTGGAGAGGAAAGCTGTTGTTTGGTGTCTCATTTCATGTAGCCCCAGGGCAGATGGAAGGAGAGTGAAAGAGTGTGTTTGTGTGTGTATGTAAGAGAGAGAGCGAGAGAGGGAGGAAGATGAAAAAATAGAGGCAGCGACACACAGTGCCATCAGTCTAACCGTGCGCTCCCTTCCAGCGAGCCTTAGTCATCGCCCCAGGAGGGAAAAGGGTAGAGCAAAAGAACAGAGGAAGGAGACACTTCACTATTTCAAGTCTTTCTTCTCTCCTCTTGTCTCTGCCCACCTTCCCTCCCTCCCTCCTCCTCCCTGTCCTCTGGTATAATACTCTGGCTGTGGCTGGTGGAGCTGGGTGTAATGTGGGTTAAAGCCTTGTCTGCCTGCACTCAGAGGAGTAAACAGAGCCTCATTGTCGGGACACATCGAGAAAGAAAAAAAAAAAAACCCCGCTACTGTTTATGGCCCAGCTATAGAGAGAGGGGAGGGTTTGGGGGGCAGATTCAGTTGGAATGAGTGTGAATCATAGGCATTTGGGGAGTTGCGGGGGAAGAGGAGTGGGAAGGGGAGAGTCGACAAAAGTATAAGTGACGGAGAGGGAGAGAGAGAGCGAGTGAGAGGGGTGAGATCATGTTTTTGTTATTATTATCGTGCACTTGTGTTGAGCCATCTATCTGCCTAGATTAGCCCCGCCATGACATCATTGTTTTTCTTTCATTTCTAGTCTTCGCCTGATGTTGCCCAACTTTCTACTTTCTGCTAGACGCGCAATGCCGTACGTGCCGTGCAAACGTGCATTTCCGCACTTTTCCGCACTTTCACAACAAGCAAGTGACTTTATGAACATTAAAAGTTAACACAGCAGGACATCTAATGAGTCAGCCCGGCTTAACTACCCTCACACAACGACATATATATGACCGCGCAATCTCATGCACAGACAGCAGCAACCTGGGAATAACCTTGGCGATGACAGTGCAGAGAGAGAGAGAGAGAGAAAGGGAAGGTGGAAGGGAGACAGGGAGGGGTGATCTGGGAAAGATCAGAAGGTCCCAGGTCCTCCCACATTTGAGGAAACAAATAGCGCCACCATTCCGACACACATACACACACCACACAGATGCACACCAGCGTTAATATGTGGAGAGGAGTTTAACAGAAAGTCTTAAGATAAGGCTTTGTGCAATAACACATGAGCTCATATCCAGGTGGTTGTCTTGGATCATGGTTCACTAAGCACCAATGAAGTATACACGCACACACACACACAAAATACAGCTGCCGCGTCCTTCAGTAGACAAAATAAACTTCCAAGATTGTGATTTATTTTTCTAGCACTGAAGCAGCTTAGATCTCAGTTTAAATAAATGTAAAAGAGCCGAGTTTTGTTACTTCATCATCCAGGACTTGCGAGCTGATTCAACAATAATCCTATTGACTTAAAAATCTTAATTGAGTGGGGACTAGCAGCTCTTTGATCTTGGCGCTTTAAAAAAAATTTTTTTTATTTGCAAGCAGATATCAAATCACTTCCCAGAAAATGAGTAAATTACTGATACTCTCTCATCCCCTCTAGGCACTTGAACAACGAGCATGCCCTAGATGACCGCAGCACTGCTCAGTGCCGAGTCCAGATGCAGGTGGTTCAGCAGCTGGAGATACAGGTGAGCAAGAACACCTCATTTTCGTTTGCTCACAAACAAAGTCATGAAGACTGTTTCAGCCTGTCAATGGCCGCAACTCGTCTGAGGCAGGGCAGAGTTTATGGAGAGCAGTGGAGCTTGTAATTTAAAAGGAGCAGTCAGCAGGGAAGCTGCCATTGCTGCTCCAATTATAAAGCTTCTCTGGTCACCAGCAAGAGAGAGTGAGGCTGAGAGGAGGGGAGGAGGGAGGGAAGAGAAAAGAAAAAGGAAAGAAAAGAGAGAGTGAGACAGAAGCTAGAGAGTGGAGGGCCAGGCTGCAAGGAGTCTCTTGTTCTCAGAGTGGTTCATGCACGCAAACCCTCTTGAAACATCTGAATGGTCCCGCAGAAGCAAAATAACGAGAAGTGAAATGCTGTTCTTAAACGGCGCAGAATGTGAGAAAGTTCCAAACAAAGTTCAAATACAAAGACGAGTCTTTTGGCGCGCATCGGGACATTCGGTTTACTGAACACAGCGGCCATGTCCCTGTGTGTGTTTGTGTGTGTCCGGTGGGGGGGTGGGGGGTCCAGAATTAAGGTTAGCTTTTGTGTTTGGCAGTAGTGGTAAACAGCGTTTAGCTCAGCCCCTGAAGCCACCACCAGGGAACACAAAGTGACAGAGAGGCAGCTGGTGTCACATCACATCAGGACAGCCGTCTCTCTCTCCTTCGACATGTCACTTCATCGGCATCCCACCGCTCTGCCCCTCGCGTGCACGCACACGCACACGGCACACACACACATGCGTGAAGCGTGTTTTAAATTTCTCATATTTGCACTCGGACACACATCGCCGCGTTCGCCTTGGCGTGGATCCGTTTTTTTGTTTTTCTAGAGGCGACACTTGTGTACGCTGCTACTCCAGCACAAACACACACACACGGGATTCAGCTCAGACTGTAACATCACCCTTTAAACAGCGGTTATCAAAGTCAAATGAGGACAGTTGTGTCTGCAGACTCGTGTGAGCGTCCGAGAGGGTGCCTGGTGCTGAGGTGGCTCACGCTCATGTTCTTCGTGGTGCTTGACCGGTTTTGGAATTGTAGGATGTGCCAATACCACACTATAAATGAAAGGGTTGTGAAATTAAATGTATATCAAAGTAATCCTGTCCACGCTCGTGTCTTTCAGCTGGCGAAAGAGAGCGAGCGACTCCAGGCCATGATGACCCACCTGCATATGCGCCCCTCAGAGCCAAAGCCTTTTAACCAACCTGTGAGTACACACCCAAAGTCCAGTCACGTGACATGTGACCCCAAACCTAACGCTCTTCCTTCTTATTCACCCACAATCTTCTTTTAATAGCTCACTTTCTTTATTTCTACCCTTCTGGGTACAGTAACCTTCCTCTGTTACTGTTCAGTTTGGTATCGACGCCCCCTATTGACCAATGAGAGTTAATGTGTTTTTCATGAATCTTAAAGGCCTACTTTTTAATTTTCCTTATACTTTGCTACACATTTCCACACTTTTTTCATCTCTTTCCTCACTCTCCTTTTCTCTGTCTTTAACTTGCAATGATACAGTGCATCGAATTTCCCAGAAGAGTAGGCTTTCACAATGTTTTAATTCCACATGCAAAGTTAGAGATTGCAACAAATCCCCACATTCAAACTGTGTCAGAGTTTCCTTTCATTTTTCTAAACAAATCCTGCTTTTGAGAATTAAGATTTCCCAGCCTGTCTATGAGAGAGAGCAGTTAAAACAGCCTCTCACAATATTGTCAGTGTGTGGCAACAACATAGGATAGAAATTTGACATGGCGCGTGCGTCTGTGTGTGTCCACACTGGTTGGCGAGGTTGTTATTAGGTATCTAATGAATATTTCATTATTCAGATTGACGAGGAGTCTTATTAAAATATGAAGATGTTGAAATTAATTGTCAATTAGAGGTAGAGTGTCTTAATTTGAGGATATAAATGGGTGCAGCCGAGTGGCAATGTGTGTGCGCATGTGCTCGCGCGTACTTGTGCGCCTGCCTGGATGATGTGTTGATCGCAGGGGGATCAGCTGCCATTTTCATCTAATGGGAAATCAGGAAGAGGCGTGTTCTGTCACCACTGGAGAAGAGCCTCAGGGTCAGGGATTGGAGAAGGAGGGGCAGAGGAGGAGCATCAGGAATGGAAACAAAGCTTGGCCTCAATTAACAGTGTTCGACTGTTGCCGTGGTGATGGGGCAGGGTTGCAGCTTTAATGAAGTACCTGTTAAACAGCCCCGCCCTCTCCAGTCAGCTTAAATGGTACAGAGAGGGGGCAGAGTAAAGAGGAGGCGATTCAACACATTTTGCATACATCTAGACAACACACACAGGCACACACACTTAGTGGTTTTAATTAGTCCTAAACTAGCAGCCTTACAACAGCTCTCCCAGAGAGACTGGATGTAGTGGTTCTGTGTGTGTGTGTGTGTGTGTGTGTGTGTGTGTGTGTGTGTGTGTGTGTGCGCGTGTGCGTTCAAGTGTGTATCTGTGCAAGGCTCTGCCTAATTGGGCCGAATTGGTCCGTGAAGACTTCGCCACCGCAAAGCGCATGTGTGTGTTCCCTTCTTAAAAACATGCTGTCGTGTGGTTTTGTTTTTGTAAGCTCGGGGTTAATTGCAGCCAGTGCAATGTGTGTATAAGTATATATGTGTGTTCAAGCGCTCAAGTGTGTATGAGTGTGTGTGGTTCTGCACAAATGATAGGACCACATTTTCACAGGGAGTGTTGAAGGCCTTTCTTTTCTTATGAGTTAACATTAGTAGTGGCCCCTGAATAAAGCAGCCTATTATGATAGGTTAAATAATGTCAAATTAATGGTTGGTATAATTTTCAGTCATCAGGAAGGAAGTGGGCCTGCCGGTGTGTGTGTTTGCATTTCTGTCCTCTATGTACAGCATAGCAGGGGAACTTAATAATAGTATTCCGCTTCTGAGCTGAAACATTATGAATTTTCTGGGTGAAATGCCTGAGGTGAGGCGTCTTTTCACCTCCTCCTTGCCATGATTTTAAAGAAAGAAAGATAATCTTTCTTTGTAACCAGCTCCAGACCTTGACAGATGACAAAGGGTTAAGGTAAACATAAGGTCCGCCTTAATTAAATAGAAAACCTATTTGACGTTCCAGAACTAAAAAGTTCAACACACTAAGTACATAAACAATAAAGTTAGACAATGAAGTTTTATAAGCCCAACCTAAATAACAGTCTTCATGGAAAGGACCATGAAAAGGATCTTTTTCTCTTTTTTTGTGCTTTGAAACAATTTGCCCGTTCTGTGTGTATCGTTTTCTAGCTGAACCTGGCTTCCAGCGGCTCTCTCTTAAAGCGGGATAGCGAGGCCTACCCAGAGGGTCTTCCCCACCCCCCCACCTCGGCTGCCACCCCCATCACCCCACTGCGCCAGGGGCCTTCAGTCATCAGCTCCTCCAGCCTGCACACACACTCCCACTCGCACACGCACGCTGTTGGGCCCATACGCAGGCGCAACTCCGACAAGTACTGCACCCCGATCGCCTCAGGTAGACTGAAATATCCATCTTCACCATCGCCTGATGCTCACAGTACTTTACTGAGAATACCATTACTTGTTAGTGATGCAACATAGTCTTTCTGGAGTCCAGAAAGACCTGAGGTGTTGACTGCTGCTTTACATTTATATATTTTTGCATTTTATTTTGCCAAAGCCAAAAAAGAGGGCATTTCCCAGCATCTCAGTGATTTCATGTACCTGAAAAATATTATAGTGTTAGTTTTATTAGTTCAGAAACTCTGCATAAGCTCACATGAGCTCATTTGAAATGTCTTCTGTCTTTCAGAGCTCGCCCAGAACTGTGAGTTCTACAAGAATGCTGATGTCAGGCCTCCCTTTACCTACGCCTCTCTTATACGTCATGTGAGTCTCTCTAATGATTCTTATCAGCATCTCTCCGTCTGTGTCCTCCTCTAACCTTTTTGTTCCATTTCTCCTTTCTTTTAGGCCATTTTGGAGTCCCCAGACAGACAGTTGACTCTCAACGAGATTTACAATTGGTTTACACGAAAGTTTGCCTATTTCAGGAGAAACACAGCCACGTGGAAGGTAAAGGCACACCGCATGCGCCTTTGCACTTTCCCATTTGTATGGCTTTTGAATCCCCTCCGTATTGCAGTTATACTAATCTCTGGTTTTGGTACAACACGGTATTCAGTGAATCTAAAATAAACGAGAGCAGAAGTAAAACGAGCCAATTAACAAACTAGTTTAGAGCTGTTTAGATGATAGAGCAAAACAAGCTGGGCCATATCTAGTAAATGAAAGTCTGGAATTCAGCATAATATTTTGGCTAAAACAACAACTGGGCTGGGTTTAAAGCTGATTATTGCACATGTACATTTGGTCTGTGCTCGCTGCTGAAGCCCCTAACCCAAGAAGATGCAAACTTATTAGATGTATTTGAAACACTGAAAAAAAATGACTGTACTTTGCAGACAACTGTGTCAGTTTAAAGGCCTAACCTGAACACTTACGTAGTGATACGAGTACAATAACAGTCACGGTCTGAACACCCCTGCATTCGCAGATTCTTAGGCTGACTTTGCTCAGCACCCACCAATATGACTGATTTGACAGTTATTGGCTGTTTCTGTCCTTTATGAGACAGTTTTCCTCTGCTCTCTTTCTTTCACGCTTTCCATTCCTCTTTCTTTATCGCTCCCTCCCTCTCCTTCTTAGGACTAAACAATTTTCTCACCTGCAACGCGGCACATGGAGTGTCGACCCCACTTAGTCAAGCAAAGACACTTCTAGCCGTTATGCAGTCTCATTACAGAGAAACACATACAGAGCTAACACACACTGCTCATGATCGCACACTATATTGCCCATTTCTCCCTCTTCATCCTTCTCTCTAATACACACACACAGACACACACCTGGCCTGATCTCACCATTGTAGGTGACCCATTTTTACTGAAACCTCACACTAATTTGGGTGTCAGAGGGAGGGAATGTGAGGGAAGGAGCGAAGGAGTGAGAAGGGGACGACCACGGGCTTCTTCTAATAGCCCAAACCAAGGAGGGAAGGATGAGATGAAGACAGAGGGAGAGTTGTGCAAATGGTTAACACAGGCTAGCCAGGAATATCTTTACCTCCTCATCTGACTTTTATGAATTTTAACTATTAATGTCTGGCGTCTGCTTCCTGTGCCGCTGGCCTAGAAGACCTTTAAATATAGCTCTGCATGGCCTTATGTATTTATATAGCAGCCCAGTGAGTCAAATGGGGCCGTAGAGATATATGTCCTTTAATAAGCCGTTATATTTCATGAGCAGAGCAGCGGTGTCAGGGAGTGGAAGTCATTGATCAGAGAAAGAGAGGGGCAGAAAATGAAGAAGAGATGGGAGAGAGAAAGAAAAAGATGATTGAGAGAAGAGAGGAAATGAGTGCTAAGTGTTTTTCAAGGTGTTGCAAGATGGGCTGGGGTCTGTTATTTTTTAATGTAGATTCTCATAGTAATAATCTTTTTTTTGTAGGTGTTTTTCTTTTATCATTAAATTTAAAAAATGAAATTTATGTTGAAGAAATGCAATCAGGGCCAAATTAGAGGCTGTACTGGCACTTGCTTGTTTGTTCACTACATCTACTTATATGTAGCATCACATGCAGGTAGCCTGGCCCTGAATGCATCAAGTCAGAAACATCAACGTGTTCAAATATTAGCAATATAATAGCAATAGGGCTCGGATTAACATCTGTGAACCTTCAATGCTTATTTTCTTTCATTTGTGAGGTACACAATTGGATCTTTCTTCCAAAATGTAACCCCCCCCC